GATCCCAATCTTTCATGCCTAGGCGTTGCGTCTATGCAACCGCTTTTGGTCTCAAATGAAATTGCATATATATAATCACAATCCCAATGCCAATTATTTAATGCACCCAATATTTCATCTTATTTCATTTCATCTCATCCTCATTAAAAATTCTATTCCTGTGCTCTCTATCTATGTACCCATTTCTTTCTTTCTTTCATTAAATATTTTAAATCATCAAATCAAGATATTCTTCCATAAAGACCATCCAATATAAATATTCATCCTCTTCAGATAAAGCCTAAAACCCCCATTCCTTCTCCATAATCTAATATGCACTAATCCAATTGGCAAAGCTCTAATCTATCAAATCTTTCATCAAATTTTTGCAAAAATACTAGCTGCTAATTCTCCTCAGAAATCCATCACTTATCAAAAAAATCATTTCCTCTATGAGGACAATTTAATTTCCAATCTCAATGAATCCTCAATTTCCAACAATTGGGCCTAGGTCCACTTCCCGGAAGGGGGGGAGGCGAAAAAAAAATTGTTCGTAGATTAAACAATCATTGTTTTTTCGTTTCCCCCCCCGAGAAATCCGGATCCAAACCCAATTACTAGAAATTAAAAATTCATTAAGATTAAAAATCTTACAAATTAAATTAACCCTCATAAAAAAATACCCTAATAATGTATAATATAATATCTTAAATTTATTAATAAATAACAATTAATAAATTTCTATATGAAATTCATACGAATTAACAACTAATATTCTTACAAAAATTTAACGAGAACTTTAATAAATTACAAATTATAATTTTTACTACATATATTTTTCAAAACCACCAATATTTTCAAAAAATACAAAACCACATAAAAAACCATACCCGCACAACTTCGTTTTCTATAAATTTAAGATCGAAACTCTCAAAAAAAATACAAACGAAAACCAAAATACATATATCTAAATTAAAAAAATATCAAACAAAATCAAATCAAACCAAATATAATTCCGTCCCGAATAAAAAATGAATATCTCAAACTAAAATAACACTTATTATATTCAATATATATATATATAATCAATTAATATAAATATATATATATATTAAATATAAAACATTTTCAAATATAATATTTAACAATATAATATATTGTTAATTTACTTATATATCAAAAAAATATATAGATATATATTGAATATATAACAACATATATATTCATATAAATATCTATTCATTATTATATATATATATGAATTTTAAATATCGATTGAATAAATTCGACTCTCCCAAAATAGGAGAGAAAAAGGTCTTTCCTGTGATTATGACAACCGTTGGTTGCCTCACCGGAGCCGTGCTTTTGCACGAATATGGAATATTGTTGAGAAAAGTTACGCAGACTCAAACAGCTGGAGATTGAGCTACACCAAAACACTGAAGTGGGCACCGCACACTCACACAAAGAACACATAGGAATCTTTCAAACTGCCCCTGATTGAAATTCTCTCCAGCCAGCTGCCATTCTGATCCGACGAAGTGCAGGATCCCAGAATCCGGTGTTTGACGGTCAGCGCTTCGAAAGCAAATGTGGGCCTGCCCAGATCCATATCAGGTGCATTCAGGTGCCAGGTGCATTCAGGTGCCAGGCGCCTTGTCATTGTTGTCAAATGTCTGTGGGGATGTATTGGGTGAGATATGGAGCACTGTTTGTTGCAAAGTTGTGAAAAATTGTGTTCCTGAGCCAAGCTCTGTGAATAAGCCTCTAATTATATATTTCTATGTTTTGCCGAATTCATTTGGGGGGCGTGAGCGATGACAAGTGGACCAGACTGCTGGCATGTTTAGAGGATATTCATAGAGGGGCATACAGTCTTGAACTTTGGTTGAAAGTGGCGCCTCTCACAGGCGGACATACTTCAGCTTGAACAGCTTTAGAGAGGGTGCCTCTGGATACAAGACACACATCTCTTCATCAGCTGGACGTACTGTCTTTCAATGTGAGAGAAAAAATATCGTTTCGTGTTGGTCACCTTGTCTCGATTTGCGCGAGATTTTGCTACCATGGTCTTAGGAGTATCACTGGTTTTCCCCTTGTACATCTGTACCAGAAGAGATGGTTGCTTAGGAAACAAGGCCCAGAGACCCACAGATTTCGGCCCGGTCTGGGGGTGGAGCCTATTTTGGAGCCAACTCATGTCTCAACGCATGTTTCATCAACTCAGCAGGACCGCAGGACCACATTTTCATGAACTTGACCCCGCCAACCACACCAGACGCCACGCGCCATCGGTTGCGGTTTGGGGCCGCCAAGGCCCATCTTCGTGAGGCCCGTGGGGCGAGAAAGCCAAGGAAGTGGACACGCTTGGAAGAGTGACGTGGTGCGTATATTTTCTGGTTTACAGCCCATGAATCATATAAAATGTTCTCTGATGTTCTCTGGGGCATGGTCATGGATGCAAATTGAATAGTCACTAGTGGAATCCTTCAAAACCTCGAGCAATGTTGGTCGGAGTGCAATACGAACAGCTTTATCTAGTAGGAAGTTGGTCAAAGTGGACAGGGACTCCAAGAAACACTTCATTGTTGTCTTAGTTTCTAATCTTTTGAATTCCTTTGAGAAATACCATGGTCTCCAGCTTGGTGGGCCACCCCAAACCAATCCATCAGAATTTGGACGCAGTCGGTGACTTGAAGAGATGCAACCTGTACCCACTGTATTTTTCCAGTGTTGTTGAAACACAACCAGATTCTCAGATGTGCCGATAGTGAGTAAGACCGCAGTAAGACCGTGAGTGTGGCGTGGAAAGTATGAACGGCTCGCAAACTAGGAACAAGGACGCTATTACGTGGTAGGCCATCGCAAGTAGGTTGGAGGCCATCGTTATTAGGAACAAGGACGCTACTAGGAACAAGAACGCTATTAGGGGCTCCTGGCATCGCTACTAGTAACAAGAAGCTACTAGGGGCTCCTGGCCCTACTACTAGGAGCAAGGACGCTACGAACGGAGCAAAGGGCATCGCTATTAGGAACAAGGACGCTATTAGGATCAATGAGTTCATTGGATCGCCGACACTACACGGTGATGTCTCCACGCTTGGCTGGCTCGCCCCGGGTTGCAAGTGCAGGGTGACTACTCACGGACACCGCATGGGCAAGGGACAAAACGGGGCGGCTAACTCTGTCTCGCTAGTCTCGATTCGATGGCCTTTCTGTCGAAAACCGCCCAACTCGAAAACATCGAAAAGGACACCACCAATTCTTTCATGTGATCGGAAAAGGATTTGATACTCACCTTTTGGTGCACAAGCATAGCGGTTGAATCTGCATGACTCTCCGCAAATTCTGAGTGGTGTGTTGATCCAAATCAATGCTGTATTTCAATCCAGTAGCCAGCCGGCCAACTACCCTTGGTTTCAAACACTTGTAGACCAGGAGCAAGTTGATTTCCTGTAACGGGGAGCTGATCACCTCACCTACTGTGTAGATGTACTGGGATCGAGACTTTGGCCCTAAGAGCTATGGCGAATCATTATCGAAGCCATTTTGCATAGGATTATTCCATATGCCCCCCATCCTAAAAAGCCTTTGCCACGTGGGTCCGGGGGAAACATAGAGTATGGCGACGGCCAACAGCCACCGCTCAGAATGCTGCTATTTTGGCCGGAAAATGGAAGTCTCCTGCCACGAGAAGACCCCAACAAACATGGCTTACAACGGCCAAAGGACAGTCGAGAGAAGTCACCTAGTCCTGAGAGAAGCACCTCTGGACTCATGACCCACGTACACGTATATAACAACATATATGTTAATACACGTACATAAATGTGTATATATATATATATACACAATATATGACACACAATATAGGAGTGTATCTGTTTCAATTGTACCAATTCGGCTCCACATCCCACATGTTTTATGATGCTGCTGCACAATCCTTGGAAAACAAATGGGGTCTGAGATGCACGGATGTGACAGTGGTCCATGGTCAGCGCCGGGTAAATGCCAACTCAAAGCTCCAGAGTCAGAAAACGGATGGAAGTCGGAGCCAGGGGTGCTTGCCAGGTGAGCGGATTTTTGAGAGTTCCTGGATTCCTCAAGTCCTTTAAGTCCGTTCACTTCGTAGTTGTTGATTGTGGCTGGGCATGTCTGGACCATCTGGGCCACCACAACCAAGCATGTGTGTCCACATGTGGGCTAGCCTCTGTTCCGTAACCAAAACAAAGGCAACCTGGGGCTCGGGGGCACTCCTGACGCAGAGGTTGACTCCATCAAATCAATATGAACAGAATGAACCACCAGGGACTGGGAGACTCCTACGATGGTCTTGACGCCTTTGGTGGGTCGGTCTTGACCCACAGGGCACACTCTGGAAACCTTCCACTAGCTCTCTTAGTTGTCCCTGCACAACATGCTTCGGGCGCACCGTGGTCGAAGGAATCGTCCAAATTGCTGTCTCCTCGGTCCTGCACAGGTGGAGTTTTGATTTGCAAGGAAACCAGTGAGGGTGCCCAAGACAGGCAGGAAAGCAAAGGTCTTCAGGACAGGTTGGGTTGGACATGGTTGTGCATCCTCAATGGAACAACGTCAACTGGGGGCACCTAGTCACTAGAAACACTCGATGCCTCAATGTTGCCGTACACATGTGAAACAGTTTGAGATGCTGTTGACTGCCAAAGGTTAAAATTACGGTTAAAAGCTGGAAGCATAGCGAGCACACACTAAGCATCAAGCAAATACAAGGGTACAATTACAGAGAGAGCTCGAGCTCTTCTCATCATACTTTGCCACAGCAGTTTGGCACCAGCCACACTCAAACTGCCATGTCTCTCCATGTCAGATTTCTGGCCTGTGAATCAGGATCGAAGGAATCATACAAGGGCCCAAAGGACGAGTCTTGGAGGTTCGTACCTTAGTCAAAGCAAAGCGATCCGTCAGCATCTTGGCTGAATTACCTTTTTCGATGTGATCACAAGGCTGTTCACAGGCGCGCTCCCTGCATTTACCATGGACTCCCTGCCCCAAACTCCACAGCAAAATTGAGACAAGTTTTGCGTTCTGCGCACCCAAAATCGGGGGGAAAGCAACGCAACCCTAAATCCTAAGAGGAGCATTTACACTGATGAGCCATTGTGAAGGCGATACCCCGCAGGTTAGGTCAGATCGGTTTCTGATCACTCTGTACCATCAACCTGTCCCACAGAAATGTATAAGAGAAGCGGTACTGCAGCCAAGAGTTCGTAGTCTCAAAAGAACATTCTTTTATATAATATATGTGTATCTATGTATTAGTATATATATATGATAAATACGGTTATTATATATATATATTATATTTATCTTTGATAATACTTGCAGGTGATGCTGGTTGTCCTTCGGTCACCCGTTCGGTGTCCGTGGAATCCGGCGATCATGGCAATAACCACCCCTAGAACAACCCGGTCATTATCCTTCTATGAACATCCTGCAATCCGTTTGGGTATGTTTGGGTGCTTATCGAGGCCCTAAAAGCCAACTCGACTGAAACATACAACAACTCAGTGGTTGGGGGTTTGGTCGTTCTGCCCATTGGACGACCTTTCGCGCCGCACGGAAGTCGTTTGCAGACTCAAAGACTCTCATCCGCCGAGTGCGAGCCGGTCTCGTCTGCGGACCACTGGGCGTCTCCATACTCCAATTTCCAGCTTCCCACGGCATCGGAGAACCACCAGGAACCTCGGTGGACCAAACACGAGGATGTTCATTCCCTCACTACGAGTCTCGCTCTGTAGGGGTCCACGAAATCACTACGAGGGCTCACTCTTTAATGAGTTTTAGAAAGGAAGGTCTCATCGACTGAGGTGGGTCCCTCTGTGCGGGTGTTCTGCTTAAAGGCAGGTGTTTTTTGACCCAGTTTGTTTGAACATGGATGAGCCATAAAGAGTGGAAAGCCCATTGGCGCCATCCAGGATGCCCGGGAGGTCTTACAACGGGTTGGTTTGGCCTAGACACCCAGGGCCCAGTGAATTGTTTGATGATTTCTCTAAAGATCTCTAAAGTAGTGATATATTGATATATAATATACATATATATAGTTGTTTACTGACTGACAGGTGATAGGACAGACCCAATTGAGACTATTTGAGCAAGGCTCACCACAGGTTATAGATAGAAGGAGATTACTTTGAGCCTTCTGAGATCTTCTGAGCACCTGAAACCAAGGCAGCACTTCGAAAACCGAACATGCACACCGTCACAACATTTTATTGAACCGTCCAAAAACATCAACCGCCTTTAAGCGGCTTTGCAAAACAGCCCCTCCAACAGTTACCAGCAACAAACCTCGCAAACCCCAACTTTTGTCATGGGCGGAGGAGACCAATTCCCCGGACGCCGCATGCCGTCCGGGAAGTCGTCTTCCAAGAGACCACACGGCGTGCCGTCGCCAAAGCAGGAGTCCATCTCACAGGCTTCACAGTCGCTACTGGGCGCAGAGTCTGTAGGACAGGAGAAGGCCTCAGTGTGGCAGGTGGTTAGCGATGAAACCTGGAAGCAATTAAGATTCAGTTCCTGTAAGATTTGGAGGCTGAATGGGGACACCTCACAATCGCGGGTGGGATAGTAGTCTCTCATGTAGCCTCACTATCAAAAGACACCGCAAAATGGGTAGTATGGCTCAACATAGAAGCACGGACAATGTTTCCAGTAGGTCATGAAGTACCGGGGGCTTGATTGGATCAGCTTCTTTGCGTCATGGCATCCGGCATAGGTCCTTCGACCCAAAAACGATGCTCGGTGACACCGCCAGGAGGCTCTTCGTCTGCAACGTGCTCTGGGCCTCGACGCACGACACATCGGATGTGGCAGGCCCTTCGCTAGTAGCGTCCTTGCTCCTAGTAGTAAGGCCAGGAGCCCCTAGTAGCGTTCTTGCTCCTAGTAGCGATGCCAGGAGCCCCTAGCAGCGTCCTTACTCCTGGTAGTAAGGCCAGGAGCCCCAGTAGCGTTCTTGCTCCTAGTAGCGATGCCAGGAGCCCCTAGTAGCGTCCTTACTCCTAGTAGTAAGGTCAGGAGCCCCTAGTAGCGTTCTTGCTCCTAGTAGCGATGCCAGGAGC